CCCAAATCCCCAATCCCCCTCCCCAAATCCCTCACCGGCTGCGCCTCCATGTCCCGCACGGTCTCGTTGGCGTCGTAGAACCCGAAAAGGCTTCGGGAACCAAATTTGGGGTCACGGGGGGGGAGCCCCGAAATTCGGGGAGACCCCAAAAAATTGGGGGAATTTGGGGATTTTCAGGGGAATTTTGGGGGATTTTTTGTTTTGATTTTTAGGGGAGTTTTTTGGGAGGATTTGGGGGGATTTTTTAAGGGGTTTTTGGGATTTTTGGGAAGGTTTAGGGGGAATTTTTAGAGGAATTTTGGGGATTTTTTAATGGGAATTTTGGGGATCTTTTGGGAGGGTTTTGGAGGGTTTTTTATGGGAATTTAAAGATTTTTTAGGAGAATTTTGGGGGTTTTTTATGGGAATTTTGGGATCTTTTGGGAGGGTTTTGGAGGGTTTTTTATGGGAATTTAAAGATTTTTTAGGAGAATTTTGGGGGTTTTTTATGGGAATTTTGGGATCTTTTGGGAGGGTTTTGGAGGGTTTTTTATGGGAATTTAAAGATTTTTTAGGAGAATTTTGGGGGTTTTTTATGGGAATTTTGGGATCTTTTGGGAGGGTTTTGGAGGTTTTTTTATGGGAATTTAAAGATTTTTTAGGAGAATTTTGGGGGTTTTTTATGGGAATTTTGGGATCTTTTGGGAGGGTTTTGGGGTTTTTTTAGGGGAATTTTGGGATTTTTTGGGAGGATTTTTTTAGGGGGATTTTGGGAAAGGATTTTGGGATTTTTTTAATGGGAATTTTGGGGATTTTTTGGAGGATTTTTGGGGATTTTTGGGGGTAATTTTGAGTTAATTTTGGGGTGTTTTGGGGTAATTTTGGGCTGGTTTTGGGCTGTTTTGGGGCTGTTTTTGGGCTGTTTTTGGGCTGTTTTTGGGCCGTTTTAGGGCTGGTTTTGGGCTGTTTTTGGGCTGTTTTCAGGGTGTTTTTGGACTGTTTTTGGGCTGTTTTTTGGGCTGTTTTTAGGGTGTTTTCAGGGTGTTTTTGGGCTGGTTTTGGGCTGTTTTCAGGGTGTTTTTGTGCTGGTTTTGGGCTATTTTTTGGGCTGTTTTTGGGCTGTTTTAGGGCTGTTTTTGGGCTGTTTTCAGGGTGTTTTTGGGCTGTTTTTGGGCTGTTTTTGGGGTGGTTTTGGGCTGTTTTTGGGGTGGTTTTGGGGTGATTTTGGGGTGGTTTTGGGTCTCACCTGGACTGCCAGGGGGTGATGACGCCGTCGTCGGGACCCCCGATCAGCACCAGGCGCTGGATCCGCAGCAGGTTCCGCTTCCACTCTGGGGAAATTCGGGGCTTTTTGGGTGATTTCGGGCTGATTTCCAGGTTTTTGGGGGTTTTTTGGGGTTTTTTGGGTGTTTTTGGGGTGTTTTTGGGGGTTTTTGGGGTCTCACCAGAGGCGTTGGGGTGCAGGCGCTCGTCGTTGAGCAGCGCCAGGAAATCGCTGTTGTTCAGGTAAAGGTCCCGGTGGTGGGGGTCTGCAGGGGGGGTTTGGGGAGGTTTTGGGGGGATTCGGGTTTTTTTTGGGGTTTTGGGGATTTTTGGGGATTTTTTGGGACTTTTGGGGATTTTTTGGGATTTTTTGGGATTTTTTGGGGATTTTTTTTAAAGTTTTTTTGGGGGGAAATGTGGTTTTTGAGGGATTTTTTGGGTTTTTTTCGGTGGAAAAATCGGGAGATTTGGGGATTTTGGGGGGATTTCTTTTGGGTTTTGGGGTTTTGGGGATTTTTGGGGATTTTTTTAAAGTTTTTTTGGGGGGGAAATGCGGTTTTTGAGGGATTTTTGGGTTTTTTTTCGGTGGAAAAATCGGGAGATTTGGGGATTTTGGGGGGATTTCTTTTGGGTTTTGGGGTTTTGGGGGGTTTTGGGATTTTTGGGGGGTTTTTTGGGGATTTTTTTGGGGTTTTTTTGGGGTGAAAAATGGGGTTTGGAAGGGATTTTTGGGATTTTTTTTTGGTGGAAAAATTGGGGGATTTGGGGTGGAAAATTGGGGATTTTTGGGGATTTTTGAGGTTTTGGGTTTTCTGGGGACTTTGGGGGTTTTGGGAGGGATTTTTATGGGATTTTGATGGGATTTTTGGGGGAATTTTGGGGTTTTTTTGGCTCCAGGCTGTCCTGGGGGGTTTTTTGGGGTTTTTTGGGGTGGTTTTTGGGGTTTTTTGGGGTGTTTTTGGGGGTTTTTGGGGTGTTTTTGGGGTCAGACCGTTCCAGTAGTTGCAGATGGACACGCCCTGGCCCAGGGGGGTGTAGCAGAGCCGGTAAAGGTTGGATTTCATGTGCCGGGGGAAAAGCCACTTCAGGTAATCGGTGTCTGCCAAAAAACGCCCGAAATCGGCCCAAAATCAGCTCAAAACCTGATCAAAATCAGCCCAGAAAAACACCCAAAATCGGCCCAAAATCAGCTCAAAATCTGCCCAAAATCAGCCCAGAATCTGCCCAAAATCTGATCAAAATCAGCCAAAAAAACCACCTAAAATCAGCCCAAAATCAGCCCAAAGAACGCCCAAAATCTGCCCAAAATCAGCCCAAAAAATGCCCAAAATTGGCCCAAAAAACGCCCAAAATCTGCCCAAAATCTTCCCAAAACCTGATCAAAATCAGCCCAAAATCTGCCCAAAATCTGATCAAAATCAGCCCAAAAAACCACCCAAAATCAGCCCAAAATCAGCCCCAAATCTGATCAAAATCTGCCCAAACTCCAGCTGGAATCACCCAAATCCCACCCAAAAATCCCAAATCCGACCCCAAATTCCCAAATCCCGCTGGCCCAAAAAATCCCAAATCTGCCCCAAAAATCCCCCCAAAAAAATCTCCAGAAGTTCCCCCCAAAAAACCCCAAAAAACCCCCAAAAAAAACCCAAAAAACCCCCAAAAATTCCCAAAAAAATTCCCAAAAAATTCCCAGGAAAACCTCCAAAAAAAGTCCCCAAAAAAAACCCCAAAACAACCCCTAAAACCCCCAAAAAACAACAAAGAAAAACCC